CTGTATCTCTTTTCAGCTTCTGTTCTGTGGCCATTTTCATGTGGCCTAGCACCTAACCTCCCCGTCTCTGCCCGATTCTCCGTGCCCAAGCTGCTCCTTCTAGATCCCTGACAAACTTTTCCCAGAGAGGGTCTCACGGACCTAACCCAGAAAGCCCTCTTTCCACATGGGATGAATTCGATCCACAAAGTTAGGGGCTGAGATCTATAACCCATATTTGGGGAGACACAATCCAACCCACAGTACCCCCCAGCCCAGATTTTCCCATTCCCTACGAGCTTTCTGTTTGTCAAAGCCACCCACTTCCATTACCTCTGCTGCCCCAACACTTGAGCAGTGACTGATGAATAGTATCATTCGGTCCCAGAGTTAAGTTCACGGGCTCCCAGGTTGGTTGGCGAGCAGGGCTGCCCACCCTGTCACCATGTCCCCCCTCTGCCCTGTCCCCTCTCACCATGCCTGTGCCCGTCCCCTTGCTATCTCCTCAGGGTCCCCCAGCTTCCCTGCCCGCCATGGCCTCTGCAAACAAGAACAGTGGGAGCATCTCCTCCTTGTCCGGCAGCCGCCTGCAGAGCCGGAAGCCGCCCAACCTGTCCATCACCATCCCGCCCCTGGAGGCCCCAGTCCCCGCTGGCGAGCAAGACCGCATGCTGCCTGAGGTAAGGGGCCACCCCAACACTGGGACCCATGCCAACGAGATGTCACCTCCTAAGTGGTTCCACTTCCTGGAGAGTCGTCCCCTTCCAAGCTGCAGCTGCAGGCACCCTTTCCACAGGCCTCTGCCCCACCTTCCTGGGTCTGGGACACATCACCTGGACAGAGAGGAGGCTAATCTCGTGGTGGCCAGGAGACTAGAGGGCACGCTGGGCCCGAGGACAGTCTAGGACTTGCTGTGCGTCCACTGAACCCAGCCTGAGCGGCACCACAGCCTGCCACCAACTGCCACTCCTCCAGAGCAGTGCTCCTTAGGGGCAGGGATGGCGAGACTTGGTCTCACGTGCTTTAGACATGTTGTCGAGAGACACAAGTCCCTGGCGAAGGACACCGAGTTTGGTAAAGTAGAGAGAGGGGTGGACAAGAAGGAGGAAGGCCCTCCAGATGGATGGACACCGTGGCTGTCACCACGGGCTCAGGTACAGGAACCATCCTGAGGACGGCGCAGGTCCGGGCAGTGTTTCCTTCTGTTGTGCACGGGTCGCTATGGGTGGGCACCGATGCGATGGCTCCTAACCCCGCCACAGCCGTCATCCTGCATAAGAAGCCCTGGCCCTCTGCTTCCATGCAGGTTCCGGCTCAGAAAACCCTCTGAGCCCAGTCCCACACTAACACGGGGTCACCAGGAGGCGGGCTCCACTCGATGGCAACGGGGTGGGCTTTGTGGGTGCTTCTGGGGAGCGTGGCTTCCCCGGGACGGGTGAGCTGAAATAGGGACAGTGTCCCTTGGCGCCACAGGCCCTACATTGCAGTTCCTGGTGCCTCCATAAAGGACTCTTTGAGTCGAGACCCCAAAGAGCGTGGGCTTCCTGCACAGCTCGGGACATAAAGGGGTGCTGTGTTGGGCCTCTCGCTCACCCTCAGAGCCCTTAGAACATGCAAGGCCAGGCAAGGTCACGGTTGGGTGACCCAAGCTCACTGGCTGGGGCCTGAAGGCCTGCACGCCAGGCAGGACCGGACATTAGGAAATGGTGATTCTTCGCTTGCAAAGAAGGCTGAGGTGGGCATAGGGGACAGACTTATTCTCACAGGGTGTTCCCATTGGGAGGCCAAACAAGAACCCTCCCCGGGGTCACAGCCACGCGTGACTCCCCCGCCCCCTGACCTCCCCCTCACCTCCCAGCAGAGGCCCAAGAACCCCGCCTACTTGAAGAGTGTGAGCCTGCAGGAGCCTCAGGGACCATGGCCCGAGGGAGGCCCGGAGAAGCGCCCTGGCTTCCGCCGCCAGGCCTCCCTGTCTCAGAGCATCCGCAAGTGAGTGTTCTTGTTGTTAGCCCCCACTGTACCCCACCCCCCCACACCAACTCTGGGGGCTCCTGGGGTACCCTTTCCCATGGGAGGTGCTCTCCACAAGGCAAGCCCCAAGGCCTAGGGGTGTGAGTATGGGGGGGGGGGGCATCCCAGGGTGGTGGCTGAGAGGGCCCAGGTCTGAAGCCTTGTGAGTGGGCCAGCCCCTCATTTTGGCTTCTCCCCACCTGCCCTGGATGCACACGTGTGCACATGCATGATCATACTTCCAGTTGCCACTGTGTGCACACGTGAACGTGCTGCAGGCACCACTTTGCTACACACCCAGGGGCACACACTGTCACGCTCCCAGTCACACACTTCCTGTGGGCACACATGGGCACATACATGGTCATTCACCTGGCATCACTTCCCTGCACACCGAGGGACACACGTGTGTCACACTCATAGTCACTCCCTCCTGTGTACATGTGTATGTCACGCGTGTCACTTCCATGTACACATACAGGAACACAGGTGCATATCATGCTTCCGCATACTCCTCATATGCACACATGGGCACCTGGGTGTTACTGCTCTCACAGCACTCCCCTGCACACGCAGGGCACATGCATCTTGCAGGTCATTCCCGTACACGCCCGGGGACACTGCCATGTGGCCGGCTCTTAGGTATACATATACCTCTTACGTGCACACATGCACAGGGGACCACATGTTATCATTGTGATCTCCCATGTACGTGCACATGGGGACACTGCCATATGATGTGTACACACACCTCACATGCATGATGTGCACCAGGGATCCCCCTGCATGATTGAGCACTCCATGTACACAGAGACACTGCCATGTGATTTGTGATCTCACATATGCACACACACGTTCACGTGCATACCTCCCCTTATGCGCACACACACCCCTAATGTGCTTACAATCACACACGGACACTGCCATGTAATGGTGAGCTCACGTGCACTTGTACATAGCGACACTCCTGTGTGATCACAATCTCGTGTGCACATACACACAAGCACATGTGAATACTGCCATGTGGTGGTAAGTTCGTATGCACACATACAAACCTCACATGCACACAAGCAAACAGGAACACCCCTGCATGGTTGAGAGCTCACGTGCACACAGGGACGCTGCATTTAATCACGTTCTCACGGGCGCGTGCACATTCACATGCACACAAACCTCTACCAGCACACAAGCACACGGGGACACTGCCATGCGATTACTAGCTCACACATGCGTTCACACACTCACTCCCCTCATGTGCACCCGGAGGCACTGCCATGTGATCTCGAGCATCTCATGTGCCTGCTCTGTCTGCCCATGCAGGGGTACCGCCCAGTGGTTCGGGGTCAGCGGTGACTGGGAGGGGAAGCGGCAGAACTGGCAGCGCCGCAGCCTGCACCACTGCAGCCTACGCTACGGCAAGCTGAAGGCCTCCTGTCAGCGAGACCTGGAGCTGCCCAGCCAGGAGGTGCCGTCCTTCCAGGGCACTGAGTCTCCCAAGCCCTGCAAGCTGCCCAAGGTGGGCCCCCAGGGGTCAGAGGATCAGCCAGCAGCTTCACCCAGAGCCCAGATGGACCCCACCCACCACCTTCCTCCTTGCTTCCCAGATCGTGGACCCTCTGGCCCGGGGCCGGGCCTTCCGCCACCCTGACGAGGTGGACCGACCCCATGGCCCGCACCCACCGCTGACCCCCGGCGTCCTGTCCCTTACCTCCTTCACCAGCGTGCGCTCCGGCCACTCGCACCTGCTCCGTCCCAAGAGGATGTCTGTGGCTCACATGAGCTTCCAGGCTGCCGCCGCGCTCCTCAAGGTCAGGGGCAGGGGATTTCAGGCAGAGGGAAGGTCACCTCCCCTTCTGGTCCAAGTGGTCCCAGAATCCTCCCCCCTCCACCCCCAGCCTGCTCTGCTCAGAGGTGGTGTCTGCAGTGACCTAAGCTGGGCAGGCTGGTGAAACCCACACTCAGCACTCCTCCCCAAGCGCTTACTGAGCACCTACTGCATGCTGGGGCTGAAGAGTCACTGCCCTGGATGAGCTCCCAGCCCCAGGCAGAGTGTGAAGGGCGCCTGCCCAGAGGAAGGACTCCCGTCTCTGGCAGTGGGCCTGTTTCCCGGGAGACCTCTGGGGACTGATGCTTGGACTAAGTCCTGAAAGAAAAAGCTCACCAGTAAAGGAAGGGAGGGAATTGCATGTGCAGAAGCCTGGAGTTCAGGGAGCGTGGTACTGGGCAGCCATGGAGGCTTGATGACTGTTTGAGGGGAGGGGAAAGGTGGCTCCAGGAGACAAGGGGTCGGGGGTGGCCTGGGACTGGCGGAGCGTGTGGATTGCCCCAAGCTAGCTTGGAGGTGGTTCAGAGTGGCTGAAGGGATGCCAGCTGCCCAAGCCTGTGGGGCAGGAGGTCACCAGGGAGGAGGTACCACAGGCCACGGTGAGTGCTTCCCTCAGGGCCAGTCGGAAGCTCTTAGGGGCTTCTTGCCGGATTCCCAGGACCATCTCCCCACAGGGGGGACAGGGCTTTACGACTCCTTGGGTGTTGGGACAGGCAGAACCTGGATCTGGGGTCCCAGGCTGCCAGGAGGGGCCAAGGTCCTGACCCTGCTTCTGCCCCATGCCAGGGCCGCTCCCTGTTGGATGCGGCCGGGCAGCAGCGCTGGGTGGTCAAGCGCAGCTTCGCCTACCCCAGCTTCCTGGATGAGGACGTGGTTGACGGGGCTGACACCTTCGACTCCTCGTTCTTTAGTAAGGCAAGCACGGGGTGTGGGCCCTTGGGGGGGGGGGGCAGGGGCAGGTGGGTCTGGGAGCTGAGCCAGATGACTTTGGCTCTGGAAAGAGATCCTCAGGTGGCAGTGCTAGTGTATGCTGCCACCAGCCCAGCCCACTGCACAGGGTCCTCCTGGCCAAGTCCTGCCCTTGAGTGGGGGTGTTGGGGCAGGTTCCTTACACGCTGTCATTTTGTGCACGCCCCCTCAGGAAGAAATGAGCTCCATGCCCGATGATGTGTTTGAGTCGCCCCCGCTCTCTGCCAACTACTTCCGAGGGATCCCGCACTCGGCTTCCCCCGTCTCCCCTGATGGCGTGCAGATCCCCCTGTGGGTGCTGGGGCCCTTCCCTGGGGGGAGAAGGGAGTGGGGGAGGGGCCCATGACCTTCAGGCGACACCTATCCCCATCCCTTGCCGGGCCCGTCCCAAGGTGCTGCCCACCCTGGACCTCCATGGGGGCTGGCTGTGTGGGAAGGGCTTCGTCCATAGCTGTGCGTCGCTACAGGAAGGAGTTGGGCCGCACGCAGAAGCCGGCTGCCAGGCGCGGCAAGCGCATCACCTCCAAGGTGAAGCACTTTGCTTTTGACCGGAAGAAGCGCCACTACGGCCTGGGCGTGGTGGGCAACTGGCTGAACCGCAGCTACCGCCGCAGCATCAGCAGCACCGTGCAGCGGCAGCTGGAGAGCTTCGACAGCCACCGGTGAGCGCAGCCGTGGGCCCGCGCGCATGCGCCCCCTTTCCCCGCCCGCACCCCAGCTCTGCTATGGGGGTGCAGAGCGACTCACAGAACAGCCACCTGATAGATAGTGGGCCCCCTTCCCCTCCCCCACCAGCCCCAGTAACAGGTGTGGGGACTGCTGCGGAGGAGCAGGGAGGGACCAAGGGACATACAGTCAGAAAGAGCAGGGAGGGTTTGACCCCCTGGGCACAGCTCAACCTGCCGTCAGCAGGAGGGCTCTGGGCCCCGCCCCCAGGGCTGCAGGGGACCCCTTGCAGGGTGTGGCCAGGGAGAAAATTGGCTAAATCCGCGCTGGGCCCACCCACAGGCCCTACTTCACTTATTGGCTGACTTTCGTCCACATCATCATCACGCTGCTGGTGATCTGTACTTACGGCATCGCGCCCGTGGGCTTTGCACAGCACGTCACCACCCAGCTGGTGAGTGGGCTGCGGACGCGGGGTCCCAACCCCGCAGAGGCTTCAGCCTCACAGCCGCCGAGTGGGAGGTACTCCGGGTGGGGGACGAAATCTGGGATGGAGAAACTCATCCCTCCCTTCGCAAGGGCCCTGCTGCACCCAGGCCTGGGAGCTTCCCTGGTGGGCTCTGAGGCGGCCCTGCATCCTCTCCACCTTCACTGCCCTCTTCTGCCCCTGGCCAGGTGCTGCGGAACAAAGGGGTGTATGAGAGCGTCAAGTACATCCAGCAAGAGAACTTCTGGATCGGCCCCAGCTCGGTACGGGCCCTCACAGCCCCTCGCCCACCCCAGACGAGACCCGGCGATGTGGCCCAGGCCCGCTCACAGCCTCTCCTCCCACAGATCGACTTGATCCACCTGGGTGCCAAGTTCTCGCCCTGCATCCGGAAGGACCAGCAGATCGAGGAGCTGGTGCGGAGGGAGCGGGAGCTGGAGCAGCACTCGGGCTGCTGCGTGCAGAACGACCACTCTGGCTGC